CGGTATGGGTCGTAATCCCAGGGTTATGAGATTGAGCCCTGCATCGGGCTCCATGCTGAGTGTGAAGCCTGCTTAAGATTCTCTCTTTCCCTCTGCCCCTCTCCCTCTCATGTGCATGCATGCAAGTTCCATTCTCTCTCTCTAAAAAAAAAAAAAAAAAAAAAAAAAAAAAAAAAAAATTTTTTAAATGCACTTTTTTTCCCCTGTGTATTTGGTTTTAACTTCTATCCTTGCAATTTTCAGAAAGAATTTAAAGCAGGAGGCAAACCCATAATTGAATTACAAAACTTAAAATTTTTCTGATGATAAAGGATAGTATAAAATTTCCTTTGAATAGGAGAATGTATATTCTATATAAGCATTTAAAATACAGCACATTTTTCCTACAAGTTCGGGCCCAAGAGCTACTTAATTGTGTTAATCTGTTTGTAGTGGTGAAAGGCAAGAGGGGCACCTGGCTGGCTCAGTCGGCAGAGTGTGTGACTCTTGATCTTGGGGTCCTGGGTTCAAGCCCCATGCTGGGTGTAGAGATTACTTAAATGAATTATTTAAAACAAAAATTACATGAAAAAATGGATAGGGAGAGATTAAATGATTTATATTACTGAATTTGATCACATTTTTCTCAAGACAGAGCTAAGGGAGTTTAAATAACTTGTCTAAATATCCCCCAAGTATCAGTGCCAGAATCTAAATCCAGGTCTGTTTGACTCCAAAGTCCAATCTCTTCCCTCTGTATTCTTCACCTCCAGTGAGGCTCTTCTGTGACCTCCCCTCATAAAGTCCCTGGTCCTCCCACTCTGCACTTGGTTCATGGGGACAGACAGACTGCTCCTGTAAGAAATCAGAGCTGATGTGGGGCCCATCCCAGAGGATTGCTCCCCTGGAGTGGTTCTTTAAAGTGACAGGTGATGGCTATAGAGAAGGATTGTTGGATAAAACAAAAGATGTAAAACAACAGTTTTCTTGACAGACTGCAATGTGCATCTGTTAGAAAGTGTGAAGAACAAATCAGTCAAAGCCTAAGAAATAGAAATGGTTGAGGGTATTGCTGGTGTTTTGGAAAACAGCCAACTTGATATGGGTTTTACTCTAAAAACGAGTGAGGCATTGTGCTATTTTGGGGTGTGATGTGGCATGTTATCCCTCATGGTAAAGTGTCCAGGCTTCTACTCTTTATCACCTTCGATTCTCTCCAAACTCCACAGGATACTTCAGCAAAGGACAGAAGCCCATCTGCTAAGGAAGTGCTTGAGTGACATCTTAAAATGACATGTCTGAAGCAGTCAGCCAGCACTGGCCTGGTCTAAGTTTGGTGCTAAATGTTGGTTCCTCTTTCATTCTGTCAGATATGAGGTTAATAGAATTTTGAGGAAAGTCATTGGTCTGAACTCTGCACAATGGCAAAATGTGCTACGTTTGTGATGATGTCACAGAATGTTTGGATGGGAAGGCCCTGAGGGATCATCTTCGGGTCTAACTTCTCTTCTTTTTCCCCAGCTTTATTGAGGTCCAAATGACAAATAAAAATTGTATATATTTAACGTGCACAATGTGATGATGTGATATGCATATGCATTATGAAATGATACCACGGTCAAGCTTGTCAACATATCCATTGCCTCACTTAGTAACCAACTGTGTTTGTGTGTGTTGAGGAAACCACTTAAGATCCCTCTCTTAGAAGAATTAAAACATTTTTTATTTTTTATTTTTTAATTTTTAAAAAATGTTTTATTTATTTTTGAGACAGAGAGAGACAGAGCATGAGCAGTGGAGGGGCAGAGAGAGAGGGAGACACAGAATCCAAAGCAGGCTCCAGGCTCTGAGCTGTCAGCACAGAGCCCGACGTGGGGCTCGAACTTACAAACCTCGAGATCGTGACCTGAGCCGAAGTCGGACGCTCAACCGACTGAGCCACCCAGGCGTCCCTTAAAACATTTTTTAAAATTAAATTTTATTGTTTTAAGTAAACTCTACGCCCTACGGGGGGGGGGGGGGGGGGGGGGGCTTGAACTCACAACCCTAAGGTCAAGAGTCACATGCTCTACCAACTGAGCAAGCCAGGTACCCCTCTCTTAGCACATTTAAAATATGTAATAACTATAGTCACTGTTCTGCACATTAGATCACCAGAACTGATTAATTTTATAACTGGAAGTTTGTGTCCACCAGCCTACTCTCTGCTTCTATGAGTTTGACTTTTTTAGATTCCACACATATGTGAGATCATACAGTATTTGGCTTTCTGTGTCTGGCTTATTTCACTTAGCACACTGTCCTTCAGATTCATCCACGTTGTCTCAGGTGGCAGAATTTCTCATGGCTGAGCAATATTCCACACACACATGCACATATATACACCACATCTTTGTCTATTCATCCATTGACAGACACTTAAGTTGTTTCCATACGGTGATTATTGTGAATAATGCTGCAATGAACAGAGAAGTGCAGATCTCTCTAAATTTTTTTTAAGTTTATTTATTTCGAGGGGGAGAGCACAAGCGGGGGGGTGGGGGGAGCGGCAGAGAGAGAGGGAGAAAGAGAGAATCCCAAGCAGGCCCCACATTGTCAGTGGGGAGTCCGACTTGGGCTCGAACCCTTGACCCTTGAGATCATGACCTGAGCCCAAATTGAGAGTCAGAAACCCAACCAACTGACCAAATGAGCCACCCAGGCGCCCCCAGATATCTTTTTGAGATACTTATTTCCTTTGGATATATATCCAGAAATGAAACTGCTGGATCATGTGGAATTTTTTAAAAATTTTAATGTTTATTATTGTTTTTGAAATATTAAAAAAGACCCAACCATCATCACCATATATATTTAGATCTGATCTAAAGTGAAAGATGTCAAAAAGAAAACCTAGAATATATACATAAGTGCACACACCCCTGAACCCAGAAAACCTAAAAGAAAAAATAGCACAAAGTTCTGTTAACAGATAAATTTATCTTTATTTCTGGAAGACATTTCCACACCCCATTCTACGTCCTCTTCCTCTTGCAGCCACTTGGGCCTTCAGCATAGCAGCTTTTCCTCGGCCAGACCCTGAGCCTTGGTGTTTATTTTTCATACTCTTTAACATGGGCACATTTGTCAGCATGTCAGGCGAAGTGAGAAAGCAGATCTTTTTTTTTTTTCTGTTTTTTATTTATTTTTATTTTTTTATTATATGAAATTTATTGTCAAATTGGTTTCTATACAACACCCAGTGCTCATCCCAAAAGATGCCCTCTTCAATGCCCATCACCCACCCTCCCCTCCCTCCCACTCCCCATCAACCCTCAGTTTGTTCTCAGTTTTTAAGAGTCTCTTATGCTTTGGCTCTCTCCCACTCTAACCTCTCTTTTTTTTCCTTCCCCTCCCCCATGGGTTTCTGTTAAGTTTCTCAGGATCCACATAAGAGTGAAAACATATGGTATCTGTCTGACAAAGCAGATCTTAATGTCACGGATGTACACCTTCTCCAGCTGTGCTGCTGGACCTTCCCTGTATGGGACCACGATGTTGGACATCTGGCAGTTTATGTTGTCCTCCCTGCCACTGAGCTTCCCATGATACATCTTGTCAGTGTTGGTCTCACATGTCATGATATGACCCGCAGCCTTGTGTAGGACTTTAATCAGCACACTATAAGACATCTTAGCAGGAAGAGAGTTCTCCCTGGCTCCCGCATAATCTTCCTCTCAGGTGCAGAGGCAATTCTGGTGGCTGCAAAGGCATGAGCCAAGCGAATGGCGGGCCCTGTGTGCCTGGCAGTTCTCTTTGTAGTTTTTTGAGGAACACCTCCCCCCCATGCTGTTTTCCATAGCACTTGCACCAGTTTACATTCCCACCAACAGTGCACAAGGGTTTCCTTTTCTCTACACCCTCACACTTTTTGCCTTATGTCTTTTTGACCATAACCATCCCAATAGGTGTGAGGTAATGTCATATTGTGATTGATTTGCATTTCCCTGATGATTAGTGACTCACTTTCAACATACCTGTAGGCCATATGTATGACTTCTTTGAGAAAATGTCTATACAAGTCCGTTGCCCATTTTTAAATTGGACTTTTTTTGATATTGAGTTGATATTGAGTTCCTTATATATTTTGGATATTAATTCCTTGTCAGACATATGGCTGCAAATATTTTCTCCCATTCTGCAGGTTGCCTTTTCATTTTGTTGTGCGTCTAACTTCTCTTTAACCAACACCAAAATCTTACCAGAATCCTATTGACATTGAACTTACAGAAGCAAGAAGAAACTTCTAGGAAAACCAGTTGGTGACAAGGATGTTTAAATAAATATAGGGCTGTCCAGGTGGCATCCTGTGTTTGGTATTCATCCTTCTCATTCTGACACTTAATCTCTAATCCTGGATGGTGATTTCTGACCTCGGAAAGACAAGACACTAGAAGCCCTGGAGTCAGGCAAAATCAGATGAGTGCTGTTCTCTCTAAACCACACCTATTAAGACAGGAAAAGAGACTCATATTTTAGAAAGTTTTCTAATAACAAGGGTAAGCCTTGATTAACTAGACAACTCAGTGAATCAGACCATACTGTGTGGGACCTAGCACGTGCTTTACCTGGACTTGGAGGTCGCAAAATGGGTGTTCCTTCTCCCAAGGATTACTGCTGAGACTGTACTACAGAAAGATCAAAGGCAGGCAGTGTTTTCCATCCTCTCTCTGTCCTGCTTGCTTAGCGTTCTCTCACTGCTTTTCTTCACTGTTCTTGCACGGAAGAGATCTAGGGTGACAGGAAAGTGATGATTCATCTGACATCAGATGGAGTCCTTTTTATTTGCCCTTTTGTTGGCCTCAGTCTCTGATATTGGGAACATCCGTGTTATGTTTGTGAATGTTTTTATTTCACGGAAGACACACATGGATTGCAGTGGGACTCTGATGATTTAAAGGTCTGATGCGTGTGGCTGTCTGGTAGCTCTTTGTTTTCCACAATCCTTTGACCAGAAAAAGAAATCAAAGTGTGTTTTAATCATGCTGACCAGCGAGGGCCAGGGATTCCCTCACTTTGGTTTGTGTCTCTGGTTGTGTATGTTCATACCTTTCTTTAAAGGTAGGTTTTATTTCTGCTTTATCTCATATTCTCTTTTCAGCTACATATATTTATTCTTCTTTTCTAGTTGTGTTTGATTGAGCAGAGATGAAATATTCTTTGTGTAAATATGTAGAGGGTCTGCACAGGAATTACTACTGTTATAACTGTTAATTAACCTATTTCTTATTGGTTAGGTTTTAACACTGAACATGAGATTTTGGAGATGGTGCAGGGGAGACAATGAAACATTGTAAACCATATCTTATTTTATTGTTCCAATAAAAATATGGTAATAATAGTGATGCAGTTTTCTATCCATCTCTGGTATGGATGTATTCAACTGATTTATCTGTATTTGTATTTAATTTTTTTTTACAACTATGATTTGTTTGTTAGCTGAGACTTAGTCCATGAACCCTTCCATTTTGAAGGTAATCATCTTTGTTTTGGGAAACATGTCATATTATTATGCTGGAATGTGTCCTAAGAGTAAGATAATTCATTTTAAAAGTTAAGACTTGGAAATAGACAAGTGCTGTTCTGCTGCAGAAAACCACATTCCCATGTTAGCTTTGCAGGGGACTTGTTCTTCAAGATTCAAAGAGGGTTTATCTACGATATCTCAAAGAGGGGGAAATGGTAATGGAGTAGTGGAGAGGATTTTTTTTATTGTCTATTTTACATAGAAATATTTCTAGCATTATTAATTATGGTGGCAAGAGTACTATTTCACATTTAAAATTGTTTTTTCCTGATGAAATCTCAGAGTTTGGTTCCAAGTGCATTTGTCAACGACTCTTTATTTAGTAATATAACAGCTATCCTTTTGTTCATTTTTGCCAAATGAGTTTTCAGTGCCTTTAATCTTCTTTCTTTCAAGATATAAATCCCTTTTGGAAATTTGTAGACTTGTTTTTCTGATGTCAAATTGGAGTTCTATAAGGGAAAATATAGAGGGGTATTAATGAAATGAATAATGTCAAATGAAGGCAAGTATCTTGCTTTTGATGCATTCTTGGAAAAATACAGACATTCACATTAAACTGTGTAAATTTTAGCGACTGAAAACTCTGTTATTTAAGAGCTAGTATTGAATTCTTTTAAAGCCAATTAAATAAGTTTGCCTTAAAAACCTTGCACTTGACACAAGTCTCCTAAATAATTGAATCCGAATCAGATTTTAAAAAGAAATATGGCTTGCTAAGGTCTTAATAAACTTACTAGTTATTGCAGTTTGCTTGGTGGAGGTTCCCCAGCTAAACACCTTGTTGGTTGTATAAACAGGTGGTTGGATCAGCATTTTGACCAGAAAAGGCAGGACTCTTCCTTAAAAACCAGATCAGTAAGATCATGAGTTATCTTCAATGACATAAGCAAAAATTGGAGCTCATGCTGTCCCTTTGTATTTGTGGTGCATTAGACTTGTAAAAGTGCTCTTACAATAGTATTTTATTTGATATCATAATGGTTCTGGGATGTAGGCATTACTCTTCTTATCTTCAGGGCTCTGAGAGGCTAGGTACAATGGGCACCAGGGGAAGCCTGTGTGGGTGGACAGAACACAGGGGCGGGAGCGCTCAGGTGGCTGGGACACCCCACTGTCCTAGTGGCCTGGCGATGGGAGCTGCCAGAACCTTCCCATCTGTGAACACCCTCTTGGCCTCTCTAACTCTTCCTCTGCTTGGCCATGCAGGCTCTGCAGGCTGTGCATCTGAAGAGAGGCTCTTTCACAAACTGTTTTCTCATTATAACCAGTTCATCAGGCCTGTGGAAAATGTTTCTGAACCAGTCACGGTGCATTTTGAAGTGGCCATCACACAGCTGGCCAATGTGGTAAGTGCTGCCAGTTCACCACGTGTACCTGGAGAACCCTTGACTCGGGTGGGGGTGCAGGCAGAGCAATTCCTGAACACTGTCCCAGTTATTGCACGTGGCAAATATAGAAATTTTAAAATATGAACAAACACACATCTCCATGAATCCTGGCTCTTCAAAGCCTTCCTGCTGGGAAGAAGACATTGATGCTGTAATTATTCACATCAAGGCAGGGTCTTTCTGGAAGTGCTTTCAGAACCAGTTTATGAAACAGAGAGGCGAAGGGGAAGTTGAAGGGATAATACAGAGGGAGTTAACTTCATGGTGCACCTATTCACCAGTCACTGTGTCTACACTTAGTGGCTGTCATTTGCATTTTATAGCTGAAGGGAAGCTCAGGAAGGAATTTTCCCAAGGTCATACAATTATAAAATGGTGGAACTGAAATCTTAATCGGGCCTGTCCAACTCCAAAGCTCATGTTCTTTTTACTCTATAGAAAAAGAACTGTTTTGGGGCACCTGGGTGGCTCAGTCGGTTGAGCCTCCGACTTCGGCTCAGGTCATGATCTAGTGGTTCATGGGTTCAGGCTCTGTGCTGACAGCTCAGAGCCTGGAGCCTGCTTGGGATTCTGTGTCTCGCTCTCTCTCTGACCCTCCCCCACTCGAACTCTGTCTCTCTCTCTCTCTCTCTCTCAAAAATAAATAAACATTAACAAATTAAAAAAAAAAAAAGAAAAAGAACTGCTTTAAATATTCTATGTTATGCAAGAAAGAAAAAAAATCACCTGCTTTCATATAGCTTCCATCCAGCCCTGAGAAAACAGATGGGAATTTGGAGTTCTTAAATTTATTGCTACTATGTTCAAGGACAAGTGACTACAGTTCTTTCCTTTGAATAATCTTCATGCCCTAGTTGCCGGGAGAGGAGGTATTAGGGCCTGGTATTTATAACACAGAGCAGGGTTTTGGGCTCAAAAGCATAGGAGGGGACAGCGCTGGCTTGCTGACCAAATTCCAGGAATAGGCAGGCTCAGGAAGTAGGGGGAGGCTAAAGCATCTCCAGAGAGAGATGCTAGAGCTCCTGAGACTACAAAGGGAGCCCCTTTCATCTTATCAGTCCCAGCCTATGCATAGGGAAGGAACCTTCTGTCTTTCCAGACTTGCCCTGTAGGAAACAGTGGTGGTTCTTCAGGTTCACTGGAGGAAAGACCTTAGTTACAGATGTGAACTCAAGGCTCACGATGTTTCTCCGGTCCATGCTTCCTGGTGGACTAGGTTACCCTGGCCTGGTCCTCTAGCTTCTGACCCAGGTTGGAAGTATGTATATACTGGTACATATTGGTTAAAAAAATAAAAATAAAAAAGTCACAGTTTTCTTTTGTATAGATGGATATACTCATTTCTTTAAAAAACATTTTATTTGGTACCTAATCGGATCCCTTTCACCCCCAAATAGTGTTGTCCTGATTACCGGTCTCCTACTGGGCTGGGAGCCATAATTTGCTGTGGAGTATTATAAAGTAAGTTTCACCTGAAGTCAGTCTATTTCACTATACAGCATCACTTCAAATTCCTGGTTGATACACCCTTTCAGGACATTGTTCTGAGGATGGTGTGTGGAGATAATGGAATACAGATTTTGACATTTGCATTTGGTCGCTATCAGAGACTTAAAAATAACATGGCTTGAATAAAACAAATTGATTTCTTTCTTGTGTAACAGAAATCTAAAGGTTAAAAGTTTAGAAGGTTAACGCCAGGTGGCTTTGTGGTGTTGGTGATTGTACCACTGTGTTCAGTTGCTTAGGTTGGGCACTGCAAAACTCCAGGGGATGCCAATCACACAGACCACGATGCTAAAAGCATAAACCATACATGGTGACAGTGAGCAAGGTTCCTATCTTTCTATTTCAGCATATGGTTTCTTCCCTCAGTGTTGCCTCATGGTCCATGATAACTGCTGATTTTCACTCATCATATTCACATCCTTCGTAAGAAGCAGGAGGAAGGGAGGAGGGGACATAACAGACATATGTGACTTCCTTAAGGTGTTTTCTTAAAAGTCCTACTAATATCTTCTGCTTCCTATATCATCGACAACTTCTAGCTGTAAGGGAGACTTGGGAAATGTAGTTTTTTTAAGTTGAATTTTTGTTTATTGAAATACTTGTAGATTCATATGCAGTTGTAGGAAATAATAGGAAGATCCCACTTTGCCCAGTTTCCCAGTGGCAACTACTAATATGTCTTCAATTTCTAAAATTTTGTCGTTTCAAGAAAGTTAGATAAAAATGATACAGTATGTAACATTGTGGGATTGGCTTTTCCACTCAGCATAATTAAAAAAAAAATTTATGTTTATTTTGAGAGAGAGAGAAAGCACGTGTGCACGAGTTGGAGAGGGGGAGAGAGAGAAAGGGACAGAGGATCCGAAGCAGGCTCTGTGCTGACAGCCCAATGTGGGGCTTGAATTCATGAAAGATGCAATCATGACTTGAGCAAAGCCAGACACTTAACCGACTGAGCCACCCAGGTGCCTTCACTCAGCATAATTTTCTAAAGACTCATCCCAGTTGTTGATTATATCAATAGCTCATTTCTTCTTGTTGCTGAGTAGTATTCCATGGTATTGATGTGCCTCAGTTTATTTACTTTTTGTTGGTTGAAGAACATTTGTATTGATTCCAGTTTTGTTCTGTTACAAATAAAAGTGCTGTGAACATTTGGATACAAGTTGTTGTGAGAACGTAAATCTTTATTTTCCTGGGATAAATCCCCAGGTGTTCAATTGCTGGGTCATACGGTAGTTGTGTGTTTAATTTTTTAATAAACTGCCAAAATGCTTTCCAGAGTGAATGTACCCTTTTAAATTCCTATCAGCGATATATAAGTGATCCAGTTTATCTACATCTTCACCAGTATTTGTTGTTGTCACTATTTTTTTTATTTTAGCCATTCCGTTTGGTATATAGTAATATCTCATTATAGTTTTAATGTGCATTTTCCTAATGACTCATCATATAGAACATCTTTTCATGTGCTTATTTGCCATCTGTATATCTTCTTTGGTAAAATGTTTCCTCATGTTTTTGTTCCCGTTTTCTAATTGGATTGTTTGATTTTTTTTTATTTTTTAACTGTTCAGTGTTGAGAGTTCTTACTATATTCTAGATACTGATGCTTTGCCAGGTATGTGGTTTGCAAATACAGTTAACTCGAGTAATGCAAGGGTTAGGGACATCAGCCTCCAGCATAGTCAAAATTCTGCATGTGACTTTTGACTCCCCCCAAACTTAACTACTAATAGCCTACTGTTGAGCAGAAGCCTTACTGATAACATCAACAGTTGATTAACACATATTTTGTATGTTACGTGTGTTACATTCTGTACTCTTACAATAAAGTAAAAGAAAATAAAATGTCATTAAGAAAATCATAAGGAAGGGAAAATACATTTACAGCACTGTAGTGTAAAAAATTCTACATGTAAGTGGACTCACACAGCTCAGACCTGTGTGTTCAAGGGTCAACTGCATTTTACCCTAGTGTGTACCTTCTCTTTTCATCTTTTTCACATGGACCTTCACTCAAACTTTTCAATTTTGACAAGATCCAATTTATCACTTTTTCCTTTTATGTGTTGTGCTTTTGGTGTTAAGCCTAAGCATTCCTTGCCTTTATTGCAGATCCTAGAGATTTTCTCATATATTTTTTCTAAAAGTTTTATTTATGTTTTACATTTGAGACTATGATCCATTTTGAGTTAATTTTTGTATAAAATGTGAGACTTGGGCTTTTTTCCTTTTTTGGTCTGTGGGTGTCTAATTGCTCCAATACCATTAGTTGAAAAGGCTATCCTTTTTCCATGGAGCTGGTTGTGCGCTGTTGTGAAAAATCCGTTGAGCATACTTGTATGGGTCTATTTCAGGTCTATTTCAGGTCCTCTATTCTATTCCGTTGATCTATGTGATGAACCCTCCACCAATACCACACAATCTTGATTACTGTAGCTGTATAGTAAGTCTTAATGTTGGCCAGAGTGATCCTACCACCTTATTCTTCTTTGTCAAAATTATATTCACTGTTCTGGGGCCTATGCCTTCAAATAAGCTGCCTATGTATACAAAAAGGCTTGCTGGGATTTTGAAAGGAATTGCATTCATCTGTAGATCAATTTGGGGAGAAATGTCATCTTTACTATGTTGAGTGTTCCCATCCATGAATGCAGGATATTTCTCCATTTATTTAGCTCTTTTTTCATCAGCATTTTATAATTTTCAGCATGCAGATCCTGTCCATGTATTATTATGTGTATATTTGTTTTATTGTCCATGTACTATTATGTGTACTTTGTTTTATTTAAGGCAATTGAAAATAATATTGTACTTTTAATTTTGATTTCTCCATGTTCATCATTAGTATATAGAAATTCAATCGGTTTCTGTATGTTAATGTTGTATCCCGAGATCTTGCTGAAATCATTTATTAGTTTCAGTATTTTTATAGATTCCATGGGATTTTCTATATAGGCAACCATGTCATATGCAAATAGAGATGGTTTTATTTCTTCCTTTCCAAACTATGCCGTTTTTTCCCTTTTTCTTGCCTTATTGCATAGTATTGACTAGAATTATCAGTACTGTTTTGAATAAGAGTGGTGAGAGTGGACATCTCTGCCCTGTTCCCAATCTTAAGGAAAATTGTTTAGTCTTTCACCTTCTAGTATAATGATAGCTGTAGGTGTTTTATAGAGGTTTTCAAATTGAGAAAGTTCTCCTTTATTCGTTAGTTTTCAGAGAGTTTTTATCATTAATTGATGTTGAATTTTTGTCAAATGCTTTTTCTGTAACCATTGATATGATCAGATAATTTTTCTTCCTTACCTTGTTGATATGGTAAAGTACATTGATTGATTTTTGAATGTTGAACAGCTTTACAACTCATTTAGTCATGGCGTATAACTTTTTGTACATTGTTGGATTCACTTTGCTAGTATTTTATTGATGAGTTCATGACAGACATTAATCTGTAATTTTCTTCTTTTGTATTATCTTTGTTTGGATTTTGTGTCAGGGTAATATAGCTTTATAAAAAATATTTGGAATTGTTCCATCTTCTTCTATGTTCTGGAAGAGACTGTGTAAAATTGATACTGATTCTTCTTTCATAGTTGGTGGAATTCTCCAGGGAAACCTACTAGGCCTAGAGATTTGTTTTCCAGGAGTTTTTAACTACAAATTCAATTTTTAAAAATGGCTATAGGCTATTTAGATTGTCAATTTCATCTTCTTTGAATTTGGATAGTTTGTGGTTTTTGAAGTTTTAGTCTATTTCTTTTAAAAATTTGATTGTATAATAAAGCTGTTTATCATATTGTCTATTCTTTTTAATGGCTACAGGATCTGTAGTGATAGCTCCTATTTCATTCCTGATGTTGGTGAGTTGTGTTTTCTCTGTTTTTATTTTTGTCGATCTTGAGACAAGTTTGTGAGTTTTATTGGTCCCCATCCCAAAGAATTAGCTTTTTATTTAATTGATTTTTTCTATTGTTTTCCTTTTTCAATTTTATTGTTTTCTACTCTTTTTTTTTAAGTGTATTTATTTACTTATTTAAGTAATCTCTACACCCAACATATGGCTCAAACTCATGACCTGGAGATCAAGAGTTGCATGCTCCAATGACTAAGCCAGCCAGGTGCCCCATGATTTCTACTCTTATCTTTATTTTTCCTTCCTTAAGCTTGCTGTGGGCTCATTTTGTGCTTCTTTTTCTAATTTCTTGAAGTAAGAACTTGTATTATTGATTTGAGACCTTTCCTCATTTCTAATGTAAGCATATAATGCTATAATTTTATTTTCAACATTGTTTTTAGCAATGACCTTCATATTTTAATATGTTGTGTTTTCATTTCATTCAGTTCTATGTATTTTTAAAAATCTCCTTTGAGATTTAAGCCCATTTTGATCTTTGACCCATGGATTATTTAGAAGTGTGTTGTATAATTCCTAGGGGTTTAGAGAGTTTCCTGCTGTCTTTTTGTTGTTGGTTTCTAGTTTGATTCCATTATAGTCAGAAAACACACTGTATGGTTTCAGTTCTTTTAAATTTGATGAGGTTTGTTTTATGGCCCATGGTAAGAATATGGTTTATCTTGGTTAATATCCCATGCATTCTTGAAATATATGTGTATTCTGCGCTTTTGAAAGAAGTGGTCTATATATTTCAATTAGATCCTGTTGATTATGTTCTTCAGATCTTCTATATTTTGCTGATTTCCCCCCTAGTGGTTTTATTGGTTGCTGAGGGGGATGGTGTTGAAGTCTCCAACTATATTTGGGAGTTTGTTCCTTCTTTCAGTTTCATCAATTTTTATTTCATGTAATTTAAGACTAGTGTTTGGTGTGTATACAGTTAAGATCATTATGTCTTCCTGGTGATTTTATATTTCCATCATTATATAATGTCCTTGGTCTACAGTAATTTTTTTTCTGAAGTCTACTTTGTCAGGTATTAATATAGCTATTCTTATTGGTGTATTGGAAGCTACCTGTTCTCATGGGGGGCACCAGAAGTCCCTGAGGGTCATATTCATTGTCATTGAGCCATGGTGAGCTCTGGGGATGGTTCTGTGATGCAGGACAGTCAGGATGCGCAATTACCAACTCCCTTATCAAAGGCCTTAGCAAAGGCCTTTTTTGCTGCTCTACATGGAAGTGTGTTTGCTGCAAACACACAGAATGACTCTGGCCAGAAGGTTTTCTGGGTGAATGATCTTTCAGTGTAAGAGTATGTCTGCTGTCCCCCCAACAGGGATCCAAGACAAAGCCCCTGTGTAGTGTTTTGATGGCCTCACTATCTGAAATGACTAACTTAAAGGCTTATAAAGTGTAGCCAACCTGGCTTTCTGATCTCAATCTCTGCTGCTTCAGAAGCTAATCCTTTTGAAATTATAACTCCAATCCTTTAATACAGGCAGGGTGCCAACTAATTTATTTTCCCAAGAAGGAGATACAGAGCAATGGTCTCAGGAATGTGGAGTGGTATTTTAGGTCCCTGCTTCCTCCAGCTGGGCTGTCTGATGGTAGTGCTCATGACCATCAGTGTGGAACAGAATTGCATGGAGAACAAGACTTGCCAGACCAAGTCCTGGTCCATAAAGCTGGCTGACACCCTTAAGAATGTCCACACCACATTGAGCCTCACCAGCCTGTGGAAGTGTTGGGGAAAGAGAGAGATATTGACAGGATGATATTGCCAACAGATTTTAATTCTTTGAATACTAGTTAACAGTGTACACTAGTTCTGTGAACACAGAATACAAAGAGGATGCATAAGACTGTATAACTAGTCCATTCTTGATTGACAGCCAACAGATCTATTGACATGGCCCCTGCTGCAATTTATAGATCACAGCATCACACTCTCATGAGCAGAAGGCAATTACCTTAGGCTTGGGTAATACTTGGCCAATAGATAAGTATAGCCTTTTTTATTTTATTTATTTATTTCTTTTTGCTTTTCTTGACTAATAAGAAACCATGATTGTAACTCCTTTTGTTGACCTTTTAAAACCCTGGGGTTTACCATGACTAGACACAAACACATTTGAAGGAGGAAGCTTGGCAGGGGGAGTGGAGAACTACAGAGCAGCTCAGTGAAAAAGAGCAGTTTGGTGTCAGTCCTGGCCATGGCTCTGTCAACCACAGTTGAGTTCATTTACTCTGAGGGTGTTCACGTATATTATAAAGCAACATTGGTAAGTTTGGGGAACCCACTGATGGTCACTGGAACACCCAATAGCTTTCAAGCTGCTGTGCTGTAAGGTTGCTGAAGGTTCTGGAGTGTCTTCAGTTTTCCCACTGAAGGCTGGTAGCTGCTTAGGAACACATTGTATTTGGGATATTGGCCTGAAATATTTTTCCTCCAGATAGCTGTATGACTCTCTTCAGTCATTTAGGTACCTGTTTAAACCTCCTAAGAGAAGCCTTCTTTGATCATTCTGTCTAAAAAAGATGTGTGTGTGTGTGTGTGTATGTGTGTGTATGCATGCACACACCACTCCATCTCTCTTTATTTTTCTTCACAGGGACTTATAACTGTCACACATTATATTATATATCTATTATTGATTTTTTGTCTCCCAAATTAACAGTTTAGATGCATGAAGGTAGAGGTTTTTTCAATCCTGTTTACTGCTGTAGTCCCAGAATTTATAGAGCACATAGTAGGTACTCAATAAATATTTGAATAATGAATAATTGAAGCAATCAGCATGGCTTAGATGAGAGTTGAGATGTGTTGAAGTGGAGTGGCAGGTTCCAGCTGGAAAACTCCATGGTGAGCAGAGGCTGACATTTCAAAAGGCAACTGGGCTCAGGACTCAGAGCCTAGAGAGTGGTGAGCACAGTTGAAGAGGGAGGTTTTCAAGGAAGGGGGAAGAATACAGTAAAAACAATGAACCAAGTTCTGATACCTATCACCATCTGCAGTACTTTCCCTGTCTCCTTTCTACTGTCCCTTCTCTTCCTCCTTTCTTTCATGGAATCAGACACCTTTAATGGGCTGCGGTGGTCAGAAAGGCTTCACTGAAGAGGTGAGACTTAAGATTTGAAAGACATTTTTTTAAGCCACATTTTCTTTTAAAGTCAACAGAGTTGGAACCAGATGTGAAAATATCATATTTCTGGATGCATTTTATAAGTTGCCTTTTTAGTCTTCTTTGTTTTCCTCTGTTAGTATGAATAACTCAGATTTGGCTCTCTTTTGTTGTAATTCTTGTTCTAAGAGCCACCTTTATTAGCAAGTTCATTTAAGGCTAAAAATATTATTTCTTCTTCCCAGGATGAAGTAAACCAGATCATGGAAACCAATCTGTGGCTACGTCACGTATGTGTCTGCATCACATGTCCTTCTCTTGGACCTGTCTTACTTGTGTGTTAGCCTAACAATGTCTAATGGATAAATTCCATTAGAATTACTTCTTTCCATCTCCAACTTATAACAGAGTATAAACTATAATCTTTCTCCAAAGCCTAGAGTTCAGGTCTGGGACAGCTGCTTGATACAAACTTCACAGGTGCAAAAACATAGTGATAAAGTTCTCTGGGACATAGAGACCTGTCCCTTCCGGTTTCTGCCCTCAAGTCTCCTATTTTTATCTGTAACTTGAGACCCAGTGTCAGAAGCTTGCCCAGTCTTTGACTCTGCTGCACCAGGCCAAGGGAAGTAAGGAACTGAGCATGAGAACACGTGGGTTAGAGTCCCACCAGTTGTTTTTATCAGTTATACCACTTCATTCTTCCTTCTTGTCTTAATCTTTTACACAGATTTATAACAAACTCATTATTGTACACTTGAACTATCTTTTTGATATTAGAAATGAGTTGCTACTCCAGTGTGAATACAGTTTATGGAACATGGAAGTTGAGTCTATAACCTTGGTCAGCTAATTAATAATCAATAGTTAATTATCTAATGTCAGATGATTTATATTTGCCAAAATCAGCCCAGCTGCCTAACCCCCTATTCCTCATGGATTTAATATCCCAACTTTTAAAAAAAATTTTTTTTTTTAACGTTTATTTATTTTTGAGACAGAGAGAGACAGAGCATGAACGGGGGAGGGGCAGAGAGAGAGGGAGACACAGAATCGGAAACAGGCTCCAGGCTCTGAGCCATCAGCCCAGAGCCCGACGCGGGGCTCGAACTCACGGACCGCGAGATCGTGACCTGAGCTGAAGTAGGACGCCCAACCGACTGCGCCACCCAGGCGCCCCAAATATCCCAACTTTTGATAGAAACCAATGCACTCTTTATTTTTTTTTAAGTAGGCTCCAAGCCCAAAGTGAGGTTGGACTTACGACCCTGAGATCAAGAGTTGCATGTTCTACCAACTGAGTCAGCCAGGTGTCCTCCAGTGTATTCTTTAAATGAGAACTTATTTTTTTTTCAAAACACTGAACCGACATAGAATTAACATGGGAAGAAAGTTCCCTGTAAGTTACTAAGAATTTTTTATTCAACTGACTTCTATTGCCTTTAGATATGGAATGATTATAAATTGCGCTGGGACCCAATGGAATATGATGGCATTGAGACTCTTCGTGTTCCTGCAGATAAGATATGGAAACCTGACATCGTTCTCTACAACAAGTATGGGGTTCTGACAGCAGTAGACTTGTTCCAAAGTTGCCTTTGGTACATGCTGACCCAGGCAAGGGGGTGTTACTAATGGTGTCTGGTTTACTTTGTAGTGCTGTTGGTGACTTCCAAGTTGAAGGCAAGACAAAAGCTCTTCTTAAATATGATGGCATGATAACCTGGACTCCACCAGCTATTTTCAAGAGTTCCTGTCCTATGGATATCACTTTTTTCCCTTTTGATCATCAAAACTGTTCCCTTAAATTTGGTTCTTGGACATATGACAAAGCCGAAATTGATCTTCTAATCATTGGATCTAAAGTGGATATGAATGATTTTTGGGAAAACAGCGAATGGGAAATTGTTGATGCCTCTGGCTACAAGCATGACATAAAATATAATTGTTGTGAGGAGATCTACACAGATATAACCTATTCTTTTTACATTAGAAGACTGCCAATGTTTTATACCATTAATCTGATCATCCCTTGTCTCTTTATTTCATTTCTAACTGTGCTTGTCTTTTACCTCCCTTCTGACTGTGGTGAAAAGGTGACACTTTGTATTTCAGTTTTGCTTTCTCTGACTGTGTTTTTGCTAGTAATCACGGAAACCATCCCATCCACGTCTCTTGTGATCCCACTGGTGGGTGAGTACCTACTGTTCACCATGATCTTTGTCACCCTGTCCATTGCGGTGACTGTGTTTGTGTTGAACATTCATTATCGCACCCCAATGACACACACCATGCCCAAGTGGGTGAAGACAGTTTTCCTCCAGCTGTTACCCCAGATCTTGATGATGAAGAGGCCTCTGGACAAGATGAAGGAGACAAGTTCAGATAAAAATTCCAAAGGCATTTCTGGTAGGCCCACCAAAGTCAATTTTGATAATTGCAGAGAGACCAAACTTCCTAAAGAATGCTGCCACTGTCATAAATCAAGTGAGCTTGCCACCAGCAAGAGAAGATTAAGTCATCAGCCTTTACAATGGATAACTGAAAATTCAGAGCACTCGCCTGATGTTGAAGATGTAATTAACAGTGTACAATTCATAGCAGAAAACATGAAGAACCAAAATGAAACAAAGAAGGTAAATGCATGTGTCCTCTAGCCTGGCATCCCTCAGCTGGTTTAGATCAGACCTAAGATCAGATCTTCATTGGGAGTTCTGTTCACAAGAGGGCCAGGGAACAGTACTCTAAGACCCAGCTCTATTATTATGCAGTTATGGGTGAAGTGACCTGGGGGTTGGGTGGAGTAAAGTATAGCCTCAGAGCAAATCTCCACCTCCAGAAATGTTAACTCAGGTGAAATCTAGTTAAAATAAATATTCAAAACAGGCTTGGTTAATGAAACTGTTTCTTAAATACAGTGACAGATGAAATTCCTGCAGAGCAGCCTGCAGTCTGAGGCTGGTGGGGGCAGGCAGAGTGAGTCCTCTGAAATTCCAACCCCACTTATTCTACTTGAGAGGGATTTAGGTGTTTATTGAATGAACCTCAGGCATATTCTTAGCATCAACATATTCTGCTCTTGCTGTCCAGAGTCTAACTATAGCAGCATGAACGTCCCCCATCCTCCACAAAGAGAGCTCAAGAAAATCATGCCAATTTTCCATATCCTAAGCTGAGGGCATCTGAAAACTTATGCCAGGTGTCTGGGTTTGACCTTATACTGCAGCTGCTGGCATCCATATCTCCTGGTGAAAGGACGTCTTGAGACCTGAAGTCCACACCGTTGGTGCAGGGGAGGATACTATGACTGCAAGTCACAAGCTAGGGGCTGGAGGGGATGCATCATGGGACAAGTGAGCCCAGAACTGTGCCTTCATGGTAACATCCTCATAAAATCGAGGGAAGGTTGTTGTTGACTTAAACACCACCAGGTAGGGCCCTCAAGACACAATCTGAGATGTTAAGTCTCAGGCATGAGTTGGAGGTCAGGAACTGGAAGGACGTGAGAAATGCAATGAACTCTCCACAAGCAGCATGACTTTGAGCTCTAGAGGGCTGCCTATTCCTGATAAAGTGTCCTCCATTCCTCATGTCCTATACCCCCTGCCTCAAACCCATTTTCCAGACTTGCCAAGGTGTCAGAATATCCAGTGGTGCCAATGACAAAAGTTGAGCAGTCTGAGCAGCATTCTTGGGAATGGTTTTTGCAGGAAAAGTCATTTGTCACCTGTGGAATCCTGCTTACTCTCTAGCCATCTGTATGAGGCACCAAAGGGGCATGTGTATCTACCCTCTTCAGACAAAACAAAAGTTCTTCTAAGAACTGTATAGGCAACATGGGTTAACCACGATAAAACCACTATTTGCTTCAAAAATTGCCAAGGAAGTCTTTGAAAAGGAAGCAGCTTATTTATGAAACAGAGCATATTACCTAGTTTCAATTTTTTAACATTGCTTTGACTTTTTGTTTGCCTTTCAGGTAGAAGACGACTGGAAATATGTAGCCATGGTGGTGGACAGAGTATTTCTTTGGGTGTTTATAATTGTCTGTGTGTTTGGAACTGCAGGGCTATTTCTACAGCCACTACTGGGGAACACTGGAAAGTCTTAGGATGTATTTTCCTTTTATCTTTTGAAACTTACAGATGCTGTATTTGTTCTATGTTCCCTTCCATGAGGAAAGGGACATAAAGCTTTCCACCTAAGTCCCCCATCTACTGAAGCTGATGGTTAGATGGAAAAAGAGGACTTTATTGCAAATTTGGAGGCTGAATGCCCTCCTTTGTAGCACAGAGCACATTTAAGATGTCTGATAACACTGGAGCCCAGAATTGGTGGCACCCACAGGCTTCTCTTCTCTGTACATGTTTGACTTCCAGGGACATAAACAACCCATAATACAACAAGCCATGTAATCAACATCAAAGCCATGCTAAAAAGGCATTCTCTTGTACCTCCAGTTTATGCTACTTGTCAGTATATTGACACATGCCAGACACAAAACTCTGGAGCTTGTACCTTGCTGGCATCTGCAATGCTTGGGAACTGTTATGTGCTTGCTTTCTAATACGTGCCTCTGGGATGTACTCACACACTTCAACCCTTTTTGATATATTAATTGGCAAAAAGTAATAGCAGGTAGTCAGAGTCTATCTCAGCAGGCTGCATCAAGTTAGCATTCATCTGGCAAGCAGCTTGAGTGGTAACCCAGCACTGTGCTGGGCATTGCAAGCACAACAGAAATGGGTTCTGTCCCCAAGTGCTTGCAGCTTTTTAGGAAAAGTCATAAACACAAAGATCTCCAAGACCAGGTATCATGGGAATGTAACTAAAGCAGCCAAAATAAGGAGAGCATGATGTGGTATGGCCATGCAAACATGAAGCAGGCTTTGCGGCAGGTCAGAGAGGTGTCTGTTCTTGCCAGCAGTTTCCATATGTTCATTGTAGCTGAGACTGCAAATAAAGTTATTTCTTCTGCAAGAAATTGTGATTTTGTACCTTTTTGGAGCAATACCTTTTCTGAGAAGGAGCACCTTGGGAATTCTGTTTTATTCCACTCTAATTTATCTTCATATTTGTTGTATAAATATTATTGTAATTTTAAAGATGTATTTCAAAGCAGAAAAAAATAAATCTACCCTAACAAAGAAACTAATTTCATTTCTGCCTTTTCTCGTCTCATCCTCTTCTCTGTGCACCCATAATTTTACACTTCAATTTTACCTTCTAATTTTGTATGTTGCTGTTTTCTCAAAACATGTCAGGCGACATTTTTCCAAGATGTTACGTAGCCTTGAATGTGGGGTGTCCTGACTTTGTGGGGGCTGGCAGTGCGGGCCGTGGAAGAATTTTCATCCAAGGCAGAACAACAGAGATAAATGTTTATTGAATACAGGGCCAGGGAGCAGGACAGCAGAGGAGAGACTGTCTGCAAGGAGGCAGTGGGTAGAGGCCATATTTAAAGCTGGAAGATGAGGAGGTATGGGGAACATATGCAATTTTCTCTTTTTTGGTACCTGTGCCTGTTTGTAAGTAGCCCATTGGTCAATTAGGGCCTATGGCCATTTTGAGGTGGGTCACTTAATGGCTGGCAGTCCTCATGGGCCCTTTTGCCTTGCTTAGGTTTCCATTGCTCAAGCCCGTTGCCCAAAAATGGCCTCTACATTGAAGTATACTTTTTATGATTGCATAATCTCCATTGTGTTGATACTCCATAACTTCTATTACCTCATGTTCGTTCTTCCTTGTCTACCTTATCCAGGAGCATAAGGCTCTCTGTGGTATACCAGGCAGAGGTCTTGAACTTGAGCTGGAACTCTGTTTTAAAGTATGTTTACTGCCTCTCATATTTGTGATCATATCTATATTTTATCTTTCTTTCTTACAATGGGTTTGATTTACTTCATACATTTTTCTTAGTATTAAACCAAATCAATATTTAATATCATTGTTTAAAAAGTTTTAATTATGGTAAAATGCACATAACAAAATTTACCGTCTTCACCATTTTAAGGATATGGTTCAGTGGCATTAAGTACATTCACCATGTTGTACAGCCTTCATCACCATCCATCCACAGAACTCTCTCATCTTGTAAAACTGGAAATCTGAACCCATTAATAGCAACTTCTCATCCCATCTCTCCCCACCCTGTCACCCCTGTCAACCACCATTCTACTTTGTCGCCATGAATTTGAGTATTTTAGGTACCTTATATGAGTGAAATCATACACTATTTGTCTGTTTGTAACTGGTTTATCTCCCTAAGTATAGTCTTCAAGGTTCATCCATGTTATAGCATGTGTGAGAATTTCTTTGCTTTAAAAAAAATAATTAATTTGAATTTAAGTACAGTTGACATTGGCACAAAAACAGACACTCAGATCAATGGAACAGAATAGAAAACCCAGAAATGGACCCACAAACGTATGGCTAACTAATCTTTGACAAAGCAGGAAAAAATATCCAATGGAATACAGTCTCTTCAGCAAATGGTGCTGGGAAAACTGGACAGCAACATGCAGAAAAATGAACCTGGACCACTTTCTGACACCATACACAAAAGTAAACTCAAAATGGATGAAAGACCTCAATGTAAGATAGGAAGCCATCAAAATCCTTGAGGAGGAAGCAGGCAACAACCTCTTTGACCTTGGCCGCTGCAACTTCTTACTCAACACGTCTCTGGAGGCAGGGGAAACAAAAGCAAAAATGAACTACTGGGACCTCATCAAAATAAAAAGCTGCACAGCAAAGGAAACAATCAGCAAAACTAAAAGGCAGCCGACAGAATGGGAGAAGATATTTGCAAACAATATATCAGATGAAGGGTTAGTATCCAAAATCTATAAAGAACTTATCAAACTCCCCACCCAAAAAACAAAGAATCCAGTGAAGAAATGGGCAAAAGACATGAATAGACACTTCTCCAAAGAAGACATCCAGATGGCCAACCGACACATGAAAAAATGCTCAATTTTTTGAATTTTGAGAAAATCAAATGAAATTCATTTTGAAAAAATGCTCACTCATCATCCAGGAAATACAAATCAAAACCACAATGAGGTACTGCCTCACACCTGTGAGAATGGCTAACATGAACAACTCAGGCAACAGCTGATGTTGGTGAGGATGTAAAGAAAGAGGATCTCTTTGGCACTGCTGTTGGGAATGCAAACTTGTGCAGCCACTCTAGAAAACAGTATGGAGGTTCCTCAAAAAATTAAAAATAGAACTACCCTACAACCCAGCAATTGCACTACTAGGCAGTTATCCAAGGGATACAGGTATGCTGTTTCAAAGGGGCACATGCACCCCAATGTTTATAACAGCACTATCAACAATAGCCAAAGTATGGAAAGAGCTCAGATCCCCTTCTATGGATGAATGGATAAAGAAGACGAGGTATATATATACAATGGAGTACTACTCAGCAATCAAAAAGAATGAAATCTTGCCGTTTGCAACTACGTGGATGGAACTGGAGGGTATTATGCTAAGTGAAATTAGTCAGAGAAAGACAAA